TTCCCCGCCCTTTCCAACGGCCGCCGCGGCCCCCAGGCGCGGGGTTGAGCGCTTCCCTCAGCGCCTGTCAGCGAGAGGCCGGACGCGGGGCTGCGCTCGAGTCCCCGGCTGGCACCTCCTTCGCTACTGAGGCTTGATTCGAGCCTCGTGAAAGCGCTTCAGGTCAGTAAAACAGGGCCAGGAGCGGTTTGGATCACCTCCGCGTAACCTGGGCAGCTGTGTTTTAGAACTTGACTTAAACGTTGATAGCTGCTTTCTGCGCCAGTCTATCGGTAATTAAGGTGAAAAATATTTTTACAGCCATGAAAAATGAGGGGTTTCAAAGAGGTGAGAAGAAGGGAGCAAGGAGGGGAGGGAGAAAGTAGCAGTAAAACAAATATTAATATAGTAAACACGGCGTCATCAGCTAAACGGTTATCTTCGTTTTTGTGGAAGAACTGAGCCCCGTTCTCCATCCCCTGCCGGAGTTCATTGCTGGGAGCCGAATTTGAAAATCGGGAGGCTCAGGACAAACACAGTTTGTAGTTCTCCGTGTTTAAAACCCGGGGTGGGGGCGGGGAGGCCTGGCAACTGGACAGGCCTCCGTCCAGGCAACGGCCCTTAACGCTGCAGGAAGGTGGAAGAGCAGTTCCTGGACAAATCCAGCGTCTTCTCTGTCCTTACCCTTGCTCTACCATACGTTTTTGATATCACCGCTCTCCTGTATTCTGCTAATCTTAAAACCATTCTTGTACTAGCTCCCTCTTGTGAAAAAAGCAAGATGCTAAGCGTTTCAGTTGCCTTATTTCTGCGCTGTGTCCTAACTTCCGCATTTCCATTTTCTTTGTGAAATAAAGCCTATCCAGCCCTCTCTGACATTTGTCAATAACACAGGAAATGCAGGCTAAACATTTTCTCCCTCTGTAAGCAGGCTCCGCAATACAAGCGGGCCCGTATATAGCTTGAGTGAACACACAGAAGTCATAGATCATGACTTGATATGCACGAGTTAGTATGTCTTCTAAGAGAGATCCGTATGAGAGGAATACTCTTGGAAAATAAGTGGAGTTTCACAGCAATTCTTTATGCCTACTAAACGGAGACCAAAATTTTTGGATAATAGTTTCGTTTGATTATTGAAAGAATACATTTTGGTACCTCATGTTTTCTAGATAAATACGTATTTACATGTGTATCAATACCTGTATATGTACAAATGTATTTTTTCTTTGCTTAGTTGCTAAGAATCAGGTGCACCCCATGCCATGATGCATGGACTGACCTGTGCCTTTAGTAAATGTCAGTGCTCCTGTGGCAGTTTACTTATTGATGGTATAATTTAAATATATAAGGTTGTAAAGGTTTTTTTAAATGTAATTTGAGTGAAATTTAGAATCTCTCTGCAGCAGATTGTATAGTCTTTTAGCATGTTTGTATAAATCTAAAAATGAATCTCCAATCAAGGAGATCAATCTCCTGGTATTAAAAATAAGAGAAAGCCCTTATTTTGAAAACAGCTAAGGAGAGGAAGTTATTTCTGAGCCCTTTGGATATAGACTCAGATCAGTAAAGGTTTTCCAGACTGGAAAGCTGCTTAACTTTAGCCCTTTCCAGAACACACAAGATATATTTAAAAAAACAAACAAACACAACTTTTAAAAGATATTTGTGCAGAAAAATGCACAGTTTAAGACTGTGCTAAGGCTATATATTTTTTTAACATATTCAGTTCTTTCTCCAGTTTGAACATATGTACCAGTAGTCTGGGGTTACAAAATATGGGCCCCAAATATTTCATTTTTTTCTCCAGAGCTGCTCTATGTGATGCATGAGACTAAGTTTTTAAAAGCAAGCTACATGCTTCCTCTCCATTTGCAGATCCTTTCTGATGGGAGTCATGAAAAATCCTTGACCTCTGTAAAAGAGATTAGGAGTGCTGCTATTTCACCTGCATGCAACAGTTTTAGGAAAGAGTACTTAAATAACTAGGGAATAGACAAGAGATTTGCCAGGCTGTTCAAGAAGGCTCAGCTGACTGAACAGTCCTCCCCTCCCTGGTAGGCCAGCATCGAGGGAAACAAGGAGCAAGACTGGTCTTTCGACATCAGTTTGCTCAGCTGTCTGGAGCCTCATTTTCAGGCGGTGGTTCCACTGAAACCTAAGCCAAGCTAACCTCTGGCTGTTGCCAGAAGGATAATTAGAACTTCAGGTATTTAAAATAAGCACAAAAGAAACCTAAAGTACTTTCAGGAGTTAATAATAAATTGAAGACGAGGAACTTTGTCTACAGGCTATATTTGAAATGAACTTCCTTATGTATATTATGCAGGGTGTAAATTTTTCCCTCTATCTCCTAATCACCAAACAGAAACTGATAACTATTTAACACTGAAATGTGGCTGTGGTCTTTTAAGGAGACTAGAGGAAAAGCATCCTAAAGGAATAGTGTGGGCTGCAATGTGCACTGTATTTTTAATATACAGCATATTATCAAAGACATGTCAAGCTGAAACATTTTGGGTACTGTACTCCATCAAAAAACAAACCTTATTTTTACCATAACTAATTTAGAGCAGAGACAGCCTTTTCTTCAACTCCTTGCTTTCTACTGTCACGTTTTATCACTGTTTCCCCTCACCCCAGACTGGGGGAAGGGGAATCGGAGTGAAAACAGACAAATTTTGGAATGTCTGACTTATTTTTTTAAATAAGTATGCAGTAGTGAGATATGGAATCTGGTGACAACATTAACTCCAAGTTAACAAAGTTATGTGTGTACATGTGTGGGGAAACAGATACAAAGGGAGAAAAGCCCTTTACAAGGTCACCTAATATTTTGTGCTACAGGGGATAGAATTTTAATATTCAGATCTTTCACAAAGCAGAACTTCCTTTGATATTATTACTTTTTATTTAATCATCTAGTTCTTCTCATCTATTTTATGTTGTATGATGACTTTAGGGAACTTTAGATGTGACAGAGTTACATATAAGCAGCTTTTTAGATGTTAAGCTTTTTCTTTTAATTTAGAATATTAAGTCATGAACGTACACATTAAAGTTGTTGTAATAGCTTTATGCTACTGGACAATCTTATATTTAAGTGTAAAACATTCAGAAGACTCAGAATTATAACAAGGGGAATCATTGCCAATAAACAAGATATCAAGGCCCAATCCTCCTTGGGTGTCTTTACAAGCATAGTTATTCCTGAACTATGTATCTAAAGTGAACAGTTTATACCAGGAAAACTCTTTGAAAGCCTAAGTCATTCTAGTCTCTACTAGTCCATCTAATCAAACTGAGCCGGACAGCAGAAGTACAGTTTTGCTATTATCATTGAATAAGCACTCGGCTAGCATGTTATATTAACAAGGGCTTTGATGATTCTGTAGAAAAAATTAGTATTTTGCTGTATGCCACTAATTTTATATTCAGGCATGATCACATAGTGGTGTATTACTGCCCTTATCACACAAAATTGTATCACATCCCTTGTGAAAAATGTCTCTGCAAACAGCAATACCTACAAGAAAATGCAAATTATAAAGGTTTTGAGTGTGGCTTTAAATCTGTCTTCAAGAGCAACAGTAGTCTCTTAAATAATGGACATACAAATATTTGCAAAAATAGAACTATAGTAGGGGAAGAAATGACATTTTCTTCATGACTTAAATTTTCTCTTAGGGTACTTTTCTACCTGCTAGCAGTACAAGCCAGTAAATAGATTTGTGTACAATTTGAAGTAAAACTGTCAGCTTTCAAAAGTGTGTTGAAAAAGCTTTATATTTTAAATCAGTCCTTGACTCTCCTTGCCAGTTATTTAGACATTTTTATTTTTAACTTAACTCACCCAATCAAAAGCTAATTGGGAATAGATAACTTCACTGAGATTCACCAGTGTGAATCTGAGCTTTTTCAGGGCTTATCAGTGGAAGACTGTGACACAGTAATATAAGGCTTCTAATCAGGAAAGCATACTGGGGCTGAAGACTTGTGCCAAGAGTACAACACACACATTTTTAAATTAAAAAACAGAGAAATTAATGTCTTAATTCCTCATTTGAAGAAGACCTTCATATAAGATCATTTGTTCTAGTTTCTAAATAGGCAGTTTGCAAGCACTTGAGTGAGTAAAGCTTATTTCCCACAGATTTGTATAGTTACTTAACTGACAGTCTAAGAAAGAACAAGTACAGTTAAAGCTCTTTCTGGATTAGGGCTTTTATAAGGTAGACAGGCCTTAAAGAATATAAGGCACGAACTCAGGCAGCAGCTTTAATATTAGTAAAGGAGCGTCGCCGCTGATCAGCTGCCATTTTTAGAAAACTGAATTACCTTTGAAAATGCTAGCTGTCTATCAACGTAGTTGTAATTTGGCCAATGGATCCAGATGATAGCAGGGAAAATGAGCAGAGACACAAACTGCACCATCATGATAAGCTTGCTTCTAGAATCACCAAAACTACAAATGTTCAGACAGAATTACACCTGGTAAGTGATGGTTAAACTACCAACTTGTAACAAAAAAGTGCTCATGTAGATGCAGTTAGCGTGAATACACTTGTAACTATCATCACATATCAGCTCTCGATTTTGTTTCTGAATTTTTCTTAGGTACTCTGAAAAATATGTGCTTCAGGCTATTTACCTGTGTCAGGCAAAGTGTAATAATTAAATAATGGATTTCATGATAAATCTCTGAAAATTTATGTTTTGCTATCTACTCCCTTTCTTATAATGGTGCCTTAATGCACTGACACATTATTGCACCTAAGATTGTTGAATGCTTGTATTCATAGCACAGAACCTGATTTTGACAAATTATTCCTATGTGGCAGGAATCTGCATAAGTTTATGAACAAGTTGGGTATGTTTTCCAAAACGGTTCATATTAAATTCAAATTTAATAAATGCTTTGAAATAATCCACGTCTCTTTCTTTTAAACGATAAAAGTGCAGAGTGTAACAAACTATCTAGGGAAACAAACTGAAAGATCAGACTTCTTCATATGATGTAAAGAACTAACTATTATTTTTAAAGCAAAAACGTCTGGCTTTCACAAAATGAAAGTTGATCTTGAAAACTAACTTTCTAATAGCCTGTTTTCACATAAAGCCTTCCAAGCTACAAGAAAAAAAAAAAAGACTGAAAAGCAAAGTACATACTGTCATGATGAAATTACCATTTTTTTAAAATGTAAATGAATGCTGTGCGGTCTTTTATCTGGGATTTGGAACTTACTTATTATTTCTATGTCTGTATTAGAGACTTGCATATTATAAAGTAGTCTCTTTACATAGATTACTGCCATCCTGCAAAAAAACCCACCAACCTTTATTAAAGTATGCAATATCCTAACTAACAAAAAAGGAAAGCAATTCCATCTTGCTACTCCCTTTGAAATAGCTCATATTTGATCCATAGGCTGTCACACAGTTACCATAAAAAAATTAACTAGAAACTATTTGTATACAACGTTGAAGAGAAATACTTTAAACTCAAAGATTCTGTCATGGGACCGAGATATTGTGTTCCCAAGAAGGGAGGAACATAATCTTTTGCTCAGACCATCAGCAAGCCAGCCAGTCATAAGCTGCTCGCTGTCTATTGCGCTGTAATGTAGAACTGGACCACAGTCTATTCTACTCCACCATTTCCTAATAAAAGACCAGTGCAACCAAAAGCACAAATTGAGCTTCGTAATCTGATACTACTGCAAGTGCGCTAAATAATTCTTTTTCAAACTCTTCAAGAGTAATACAGTATTGCTTTTCTTTGTGAGCGTCTTGTCTATACAGCATGAAGTAGCTATAAAGATCTTCATTTGTTCATTTTCTGTTTGTAAATACTTCGAGCGTGATATTCATGGAGACAATGGAACAATTGTTAACTCAATAGAAACAGTTAAAAGAAAAACTGACAATTTGTGAAAAGCACTTTGGAAGTCTTCACCTGATAATTTGTTAATTCTTATACTCTGTGCAAAGTAGCACAGAAAATGTATAAAAATCATTAGATGAAAGCTTTTACTAAAATAATACCTAAATTACAACATAATCCTTTAATACATAAGGTTAAAAACACACACAGTGAAGTTAATTTGCTTGAAAAACTCTCAGATGCATTGAGCAACTTCCATTATTAGGGAAAGCTTAGCTTAGATTTGACATACGTGCTCTATACAGAAAAAACACATCTTTAATCTTGCTCATTCTCCATTGTTTAAATAGCCTATTAAAATAAATATTTGAGGGGCAGGTTACAATTAAGATTTGTTCTTTCTAAAAGTCTAATTTCTAAAAATGCAACTGTCTTCAGCACCATAAGTTGTGAAACACCAAACCTTCATAAAGAAACACTAACAGTATGCAAATATTTATTTGTAATGTGTAGAAGCAGAAAAAACACGTGCAAATTCTCATCAGATGAGACAAGAAAAATAAATAGCTCAAGAAGCACATAATGACAAAATTGGGTCTTTAATTAAATAAAATCCACATACATGAACAGGTTTGCAAGTTACAGGTTTCATGTTTTCTGTATAGTTGTATTATTTCTGTATGCCAGTAGAATCTTAGGATATTTGTTTCTCAACTGATTTCTCCAGATCTTTCATTAAAATGGGACTTTTAAAGAGAGCAGAGGGTATCTGTTGTGAGAAAAACATTTCTACTGTTTGAACCTTAATTATACTGTCACCTTCCCACTGAGATCCCTTCCTCAGTGGATGTTTTCTTTTCCTATTTGATTCCAACTATCAATGCAGTATCCAAACAGCGACATGTTAGCTACTTTAAGGAGATGAGGACCAAGTGATCCCAAGTCTTTTCTGAAACTTCAGATTTGTTTTTAATAAAAACACTAACTAACTGTGACTGGCTGTATGGTTAGCAAAGATGCTTTTTATTGTTCATCTTTAATACAGAAATAGAACAAACAGAAGCACACTAAGATGAACACATTAAAAAAAATCATTCTTTTTGTCTCATAGCTTGTAATCCCCATTATTTAACTTGAAAAATCTAAAAACAGTGATACTACGATATTTCCAGACAGAACCTCATTATACTAGGAATTGTGCAGATCCCTCATAATCAGTAATTTTGAATATAATCAGTAATTATTTTTAAGCAATGATTGATTAGGCTATAATAACAACTGATTATTTTTTTTTTTTAGTTTTCTATTTTATGAAACCACACAAAGGTATCTGTCTATTCCCACACAAAGCTAGCTTCCATTGGGCTCACAAGCTGTGCGTCTTGATAGGTGCTAAAAGTATTTGATGCAATCACACAAATTATTTTATCAGCTTATCTGGCATTCCAAGGAAAGGAGTAGCTGTGACATGTAATGAAAAATAGTACTCTTGATTTGGTACTATTTAGTATCACATTTAGAAACAACAATATTTTCCTGAACATTAATTTCATAAAGGCTCTTGCGTATTTCAATGTGGTATGTCTCTATATTTAAAAATCATCAGGCAAATTCTTGATCAGTAAATATATCTTTTCAAGAAAGCAGAGACATCTCTTTGAGATGCACATAATGACTGCAGCTCTTGAGAGCAGCACTTTAGTACAGTTATTCTTGGCAAACGTTGCTACAATTATTACTGGATTGTTCAATTTCTATTACAAAGTAGCATGATTACAAAGAAAAATGCTCTAAAAGGTTAACATACAGTGCACAGGAGGGACATGCACAAAATAAAAGTTCTTCCAACTTAAGTTTGAAGAAAGAATCAGAAAATTCTCTACACTGTAAAAGCAACTTCCCAAATGTTAAGAATACCAGAGGAAATGGGGCTAAAGGAGTTCAACTCAATATTGCTTCATTAAATCGTATTTCACAAAAAATATTGAATCTTTTCTAATCTCAATGATACTAGCTTGACATTAGGAGAGTAATCTCCTTCAGCATAGTTATTTCTGGTTTACATCGGTGTCCCCTGACACCTGTTACAGCAGTAGGCCATCTTGATTATTCGTGGTACATGAGGTCCAATACAAAGCCTGTTGAAATTAATGAAGAAATTGCTATTAATTAGAGCGGGCTTTCGATTACTGAATAGTGACACAGTTAAAATTTAAGCTACTAATTTGTCTTGGTATGATACCATAGCGTATCACAATACTAATACACTTACAGGCAAAAGAACAGAAAAGTTTGTAGTCCCACGAGTGGGGGGGGGGAGGGGGTCTCTCTCTCCTCTCACCTCTTCCTATTGCAGTTTCATGCAGAAAGTGAAACCCATTCCTGGGCTAATTCATCCCACGGAGTAACCAGCAAAGCAAAGTGGTGCAGGGTTGCCCAGCTCCTCCCCACCTCTCCGGAAGGAAGCGCAGCCCACCCCAAGCCCTTCTTCCACGTCTGCCCCACTCCACTCTCGTACTCTGCTGGAAGGAAGGAATGGAGGAAGGGCATGATCAAAGACAAGGAGTCTCTGTGCTCGTTTCTGTACAAATACCCTGGAGGAGTAACAGTTGTTGAGGTACTGTAGGGTCAGAATTTGAATCATTAGATTTATACTTGTAAGGGAAGACTGCGATGGGACTACTCATGTCATAAAGGTCTGTCATCCTACTTATAAACACAGTTTGGGCATGTTTGGCCTTCAAATTGCTATCATGACTTTATATGCACTTGATATGCCCAATGCTTCAGTTACAACATGAATCAGAATATTATTTCTGGAATAACTGCAGAGTATAAGTACTGAAAAATTGTTTATCTAGATAATGGATTTCAGCTCCTTCAGAATACTTAAATGAACACACAGTATGGGAATGAAATTAAAAGATTTAAAGAAAATAATAGAGTTTGAGAATAAAACAAAGCTTTGTTCTTGCATCAGAATGTATTAGATCTTGCAATTTGCATATACAAATAATTTAGCAACATTCACTGGCATTAAAAACAAACACAGCAAGATCAAATTATAAATGTAATAAAAGAAAATAGCTGGAACTGTATAATACATACATATATTATAAAGATTTGACAAATTAAATACAATTTGGTTATACAGAAAAGTTTCAATAACTTTACATTGAAAATGATGTTAGGGAAATGAAAACATTCAAAATATTGAACACAGGTGGTCAGGCTCATTTTAAAAGTTTAAAAAACTGATACATAAAAATACTCTAAAAAACACTGGTAATTACAGTATGCATTCTTCATTAAGGCCCAATTCAGCAAAGCACTTAAGGGATTGCTTCAGGAGCAAAGAACCTACGGTACTTAAATATTTTGTGGCATAGAGATGTCGTAAAGCAAAGGCTTAAATGCTTAGGTGAACTGGAACCTATCTTAATACATGAAAACAGACAGTCAAGTCACATAGTGACCAAAACCACATACAGATCAGAAGGCAAAATTTCTAATCACTATTTGGCATTTTAAAGTAATTCCATGCAACATAGGAAAAGTTAAAAGAAAATTCATATGACTTTATCTAGATATATCTTCTCAGTTACTAGGCTGCTGCAGTTAAGTACAACGGCCCATTGACTAAACACAAAAAGTGGAAAAAAGCATCTGAATTATTAATAAAGTCATTACATAGCTAGATGTATAAATTTAGAAATATATTCTAGGTATTTCAGTTTCCTCTTACACATTTTAATACGGTTAGCAACTAAAATCAGAGTACCACTTAGCATTTGATGTCTCGGCTTACCTCTTCTATACGTTGTTTAATTAATTACACATTGCTGCCTCTGCCCTTCTGGGGGTTCCCTAGTGGTAAAACCTGTGGGCGCCTGGAGCCCTACTGCAGTTGCTGCAGCCGTGGGGTTATGGATCTCCACTAACATCACACTGTGTTGCCAGTGAGCTGCAGAGGTTTGCTTAATGAGGCAACTCTTAATATAAGCTTTTATTTAAAATCCCGAAAACACAGACCCAAAAGGCTGTCCGGTAGACATAAATTATTTTGAAATGTAGGCCAAATGTTTGGAAAAATCCTGACTTTGGGATCTATTTGGGCTGTAAAATACACTTTCCTGGAAAATGTTGGAAGTTTCTTTATGTTATTTCTATCGTCATCTAACCTCTCTAATTCTCCCTGTTCCACAAATGATCATACTGAAAAGCCCGCCATAGTGGTTTTCATATTGAATTCCACTGTTGGCTTTTTAAAATTTTATAAAATTTTAGCATGCAGTAGTAATGTAAGCTTACTTAGCATTCTTTTCTCTAGTCAATGTTTTCTGCATTGTGACTGTAGCTTCTAACAGCAACTCATAACAAATGTTTAGTCTTTAAACAATCTTTTTTCTTTAAGTGCATAATTTACTGTACAAATAAATACAGAAGTGCATCACTGGGAAGACAAGAAGCAGTAAGTGGCAGTGTTCAGAACAGTGTGCTTAGAAATTTCTGAACTGCACCTTTTCCATTTAGTATGAAATGGAAGTATGAGCATCTTCCTTTTCCTCTGCTTTGTTACAAAGTATGATGCTATTTAGTATGAGAGAGTGAAAATGGTCATGGGATAAAATAGTGCAAGAACAGCAGTGAAGTGATCAGTGTAAGCTGCTTATTTTAAATAAGGCTTTTTATGTTTGCACTGAAAAAATCCCAATCAATTGGACAAGACAGAACTATTGCATATTAGTCATGAAATTAAAGTACATATTCTCATATTTTGTGCTCACTAATTCATATAAGCATTTTAAAGAGCAGAAAAGATATATTTAAGTTACTCAACATTCAGATGCCCTGTGATCTTTTTGGATTTTCCAACCTCCAGCAAATCCAATTCAGGACTATGATAAAGATTTTTTAAAATTTATTTTACCAATTAGATTATCAGTAGTACTTTCAGTAAAAATATCAAATCTGTGGATGCTACTCTACCTTTTTCTCTTTCTCCATTTCTCAAAGAATGGGGAATCTATGCACATGTATATAGGAGCTTTCTATCAATTTTTGATAATGGCTATAAAGCCTCTTGAAGTAGACAAGTTCAGGTGCAGCAAAATATACTCTTCTGATATGCAAAGTATTCTCCAAATATTGTACTCACATTATTGTACTCCTACATTGATTTAAGCTGCTGCAATATTTAGGAAAGAACAAAATAAATGGACTTTGAAAACTATATTAAATCAAACAATTCAAATCTATATTTATACTGATTCTGTCTTATTGACAGTAAGACTGAAAACAGAACCACCACCAACCCGGAGGTTCTTCAAAACAGATTTTAGAAGCAGTTATATTTGTCAGTTGGACTGTACATTATTATGACTGAAGAGCCATATTCTGCTACCTTTATCATTAATAGCACTTCACTCGATGAACAGTCTCTTGACCTTCACTGAGACTCTTTGTGAAATAAATTACAAATAAGCATGAGTAGGTTATCAGAACGTGCCCCCAAATAAAGACTATTTTCATTTGCCGTTGACCTCAGTGGAAAAAGGTTTCTGGCCAAAACACATTTAGCTAAAACATATATACCACAATTCATTTTTCTAATATGAAATGTAAATCAGCTACGTAAAGTTTCAAGAATTGAGAAATAACATTATTGGTAAATATCTGTAAGGGGAAAAATGCAAAGAAATAAATCTTCAAGAATTTACTGTTATTTAGAATAAAGATTTCTATAACATCTTAGAATGATATACTGTATATGAACATTATAATTTGCTTTTAAAGATATTTATATTTAAGAAAGTTTTATACAGCAAATGCAACTTTTAGAGCAAACACAAGGTCATATTTACAGTAAAAGTCAACAATCAGAATAACATAAAATAAATTAACAGAATATACAACTATTTATACAGACAACTTAAAAAATAAGGCAGGAATTTTCATTTGAAATTAGCATAATCAGAAAATATGTCGATGAAATCTTGTACCACTCTGTAGCAGAATTCATACTGTTCCTGAAAGACAATAAAAAGATATCAAAATGTACTTTCGTTGCATAGTATGATTACATTTGAGAAAAATCCAAGTGGTAATGCAACATGTTCTAGGTTGGACCGTTACAAGCTTGTAACAACTATTGCTCCAACTGAATCTGCAATTAATTTAAATTTCCTCATTTCTGATCACTGCACAAAATATTTGTGTAGCAGTTGTCTCAGCTTCCGTGTCTCCGTGCTCCTCTCCTGGCTGGTTCCTGGCCCTGTCCTTGCAATAAGGTTTGAACCAAAGACAGGAGAGCCGAGGACTTCAACATGGATTGCATAAGCAGAGTTAAGGTTTTATCTGAGCCATGGCACATTTGACATGAAAGACCCCTCTGTCTCACAGTCCACTTTTTAACATGGGAATGATGACATCCTGACTCTGGAAGAACCATTAACCTGCCAGCTGGGCATTCTCGTCAAAGTTGTGAGTTTCCCCTTTATGAGTAAAAGTAGCTGAAACCTAACCTATTTTTTGTTTGTTTGTTCGTTTGTTCGTTTTAATAAAAGCAATGATGCCTCTCTTTCTTGTCAAATAAAGGCTGATTCGTGGTCTTCAGTTAAAAAGATTTGCCTCAGCTTTCTAGGTGATAGCTCTTAAAATGCAAATTAATTCTCAAACCTGTTTATTTAGATTAATAAGCTGCTTAGTGTACCTGGCTGTTACCCATCTCTCCAAAGCAAGTAACTCTCCCTATGCATTGTCTGGGGAGCCCTGCTGTTTAACTTAGGGCTATAGTTTCTGCTGTAAGGCTCAGAAGGTAAGCGGTGACGACTCTGGCTAATCTCTCATCAGGCTTGTTTGTTGATTCCGATTACCAGTACCCTCTCTCCTCCCCGTCACTGGCTGGAAGTCATACACTCACTGGGCTGCCCGGCATCAACCTGTATTTTAACTTCTGGATTGAAGTTCCACTTTTAAATGCTATCTACGTGCATTATATTTACCCACATCCTACACTAGCCCACTGGCTAGTCCTCTGCATCCTAAAGGTGGGACTTCTGGACATACATGCTGATATGCCTCATATATGATCTGCTGGCCTACAAAACCCATAACAACGTTGATATTAAATGAAATTGGCATCTGAATCTGCTCATACTGGAAGCAGAGTCTATCAGAAGCCTTTCCATAGGCTTTCCACAGGCTCAGTTGGGAACATCGGTTGCAATTACACCTATAATTAGCATTATTAAATCAGAGAGTCAGAACCCCAAAAGATACATATTTCATCCTTGTCTCAGTGTGACTGCCGATAATCCCCTTCTGCCCTATCCGTAGCACGCAAAAAATACCTACCTGAAACAAGTATTTTGAGATAACTGTTTCTAAAGATGTTTCTAACGGCTGAATGGAAGCTGCCATCAGACTAAAAATATGAGCATTTTTACATATTTACCAAAAAGGTACATCTCCAGGAAACTCTGATGTTCACTGAGTAAGGAAAAGTGTCTGCACCAAGTTTCACATATTATTTGTAGATGACTTTAAACAAGTCAAAAATATCTTTCACGTTTCAGAGATGAACTACACGCCAGTTTAAGCATAGACGTTTTTTAAGGTAAGAGAAAACAACTGATACATAGCTTAAAAGGCATTTACACTTCATATGTTTGTCATCAGCAAAACTCGGAAAGGTTTGGGCTTTTTTTTTAAACCATCACACGTTCCTAAAAACCACAGAACAGAATGTTTAGTCAACTTGTATTTTTAGAAACTGTACTGCAAAGTAAAATACAGATTTCTGCTAATACCGTATAGATACCCAGCCATCATACATAATTTATTTCAACCTGCAAAAAGCTACTTTGTTCTCCTCCCACAAGAATATTTACAAACACCCATCCTTTGACAAAGATTGTTATTGTTAAATATCATACCAGTGTTTGCACCATATGTGGTCTTTGCAGCCTTAAGCTCTTCACAGCTTGAAATACATCTAAGAGCCCTTCAGCCTTTACTCGTTCCAGAATATTGCTGAGTGCTATGAATGTACCTGTTCTTCCAGCGCCAGCACTGCAACATAAACATATTTGCTTAACACACAGTAGGATAAAAAAGGTAAAAAAGAGAAATAATAGTGTTAGAGAATATCCAAATACTACTATTAGCCAAGTTGCTCCTCATTTTTGGCAATTTTAATTGTTGCAGCTTTGCTAGACAGGAGCCAGAATTAATCAAAATCAATTCTGAGTCAAGGTGGAACCAATAAAGTCTCGTTACTCACAGCTTATATACTCAAGTGAGAGATTCCAGAGCTGGCTGAGATAACACAAAGTATACAGCTAAAGTCCGCAAGACTCAAATGATGAAGTGGCAAAGCTTCTTCTTTAAATTTAAATTAATCTTCAACAAAACAACAAACTTCTGGTGCTCTCACACTCTGCTTTTGGTTTTACTGTTAATGTGACAGGAGCATAATCTTTAGACTTTTAATGGCAAAACTTGGTTATAATGCAAAGAAGCACTGTGTGATCAAACTCACATATTTCAGGACATGATTTATATTTCTTCTTCGTGAACAGATCAAAAGCATTTTATTATTATTATTCCAAAGTGATTGATGGAAAATGTCATATCCAACTATTAGGGTTTTAATGACTGTTATGAGCTAAACCATTTCTTCTCAAACAGAAGCATTAATATATGGACGTACTAAAACAAGATTACGTATGAGACTATACTAAATACAAGAAACTAAAGACAACTGTTCTGCCTCTAACTTACTTGACTATGACAAGAAGTCTGATATAGTCCAAAAGTAACTACAGTTTCTTGTGTTTAGTATGTTTGACTCAATATATTTTGTCCTTACATCTGTTTGAGATAATGAATCTGCGGAAGCAAAATATATTTGAATAACTGTTATCTCATTTATTATACCTAATATCATAGCCAGAAAAAAAGTTTGCTTTCTCTCTCCTAATCACACACTTGTTGGTATGGACCAAACAGTGACTGTGCACTGGTAGGCAAATAGCTTTGATAGGGAATAGTTATTAAAAACGGGGTGAAATTGGGAATTTGGTAATCAGTGGTTAGATGAAGTGGAAGGTTCACTGGATTGCTGAACAAGGATACATACAAAATTTATTAAATTTAAACTTTTAATGTGTTTTAATCATTCATAAGCAGATGAATCATAATAACAAGTCATTGCTTCTACCTTATTTCCATCAAATACAGAAAAACCTTCTAATGAGCATGGCCTTACAAAAAGATTAAGTGCAAATGCATGTATCCTCAGCTGGATACATAAGAAGTCTGGGGAAAAAAGGAACAGGTAAATGTATTGGATGTGTTATTCCCTTTAGACAGTTACTTTTATCAGATTAAAGACAAATGCAACATTTAAAAAGGTTCAGATTTACTTGTAATTAGCTAATCTCTAGTAACCATCTGAAAACCCTGCAAGTGATGCATTCTGTAATAAGTTCACAGCTACAAAAAGATGGAGAAATAAAGCTATAAAGTACAGGCATATTTGAAAACCTGTACACTTAGATCATTATACACGGTGCTTATTCACTTGTGTGTAAAAGAGGAAGATATATGTTGCTTTCAACTCCAGTTTTGATACTTTTTTTTATAAATTTAAGAATTTTTAATATAGACGCATGGAGAACTAAACTGCATTTGAAATACAGGAGAAGAATACACGTTGTCTCATTGGAATACCACACTCTTCTTACTCACTGCTCTCTTTCTGCCATCCTGTCCCCCTTTTTTTAAAGCAAGATAGCTTCTTTAAATTTGACTCTCAAAACTTCTTTTCCTGAGGCAGAAAATTCAAAGGCAAAGGACAGTCAGAAAGAGCAGAGACTAGGCGAAAGAGAAGAGAAAGTAAGGATCTTCAGAAATCACAGCAGACTTGGGCAGTCTATTAAGGAGAGCTGAAAGGCAGAGACAAGGACAGGCGAAAAAGCTTAGGCAAACAGAAGGCAGCTAGAGACACACACTGGAAGAGAAGGGAGCTAGAACTGAGTAACAGATTGCCTTTGCATTCTGCTGGCAACTCAGTTAGCAAAACCCCCAAACGCTTTAGAGTCACACCTTCGTTCTACATAACAACTATCTTTGTTAGCAGTTCCTCAAAACTTTCCTAAGCAGTTGGAAAGAATGAATAGGGGTTTTCACAAGTTCATGTGAACACCGAAAAAATCGGTCTTGGACTTGAAATGTGCTTACTTATTAATACATTTATATTCACTTATTTTTGAAGACTGGCATGACTTCATGGAGGAGGTCAAATAACTTTCAAAACCTGGGATGTACAGGCTCTACAGCTGGCTACGGGGGAGAACTCTAAACGTTAACGGTCCTGGCACATTTGGTGCGGTTCGGGTTTTCATTTCTTGGTTCATCGTTTTAAGAACGATGGGAGTTTAAACACGGAAGCGTCTCTTGTGGGCGTTCTGAAACCCCGGTGACATTGTTACTGTGAACTGTGATTGTTTCGATTGTTTGGAGGGAGATGGCAGTAAACAAACTGTTGCTAAAGACATGATCAGAAAAAAGGAAAGAAAAGATTGTACTGATTTATAATAAATAAAATATCTTAAAAGCAAGGTATGATTTTTCAATTAGGAAAAGGCATAATTTTTCTTTTATTTCTTTCTTTCTAAGTCAGCAGATGTAGTTCAAAAAGGGAAAAAGATGAATTTAAATGACTAATAACCTCACCTCCCCCAAATCCTGGAAAACATTTGAAAAAACACAGAAAAAGCCCAATACATACATATATTTTAAAAAGAACTAAAAGAGATGTTCTAATAAAAAAAAAAAGGACAGTTTAGGAAAAAAAAGAAAACTCGGCAGATGACAAAGATATATTCTAGTCATAATGTATCAAGTCATACAGAAGCTACCTCTTAACATTAATTTAAACATCGTTTTCTCTGTCCTCCCAGCTCCTCCTTCTATCTGCTTTTCAGGTCATGGGTAGATTTTGCCTTCAGCTTAGATTAGCGATGTATTTTATTCTCCTGATAATTGGTAGAAAAACAACTGCATTTTCATCCTGATGGAACATTTGAGCACTATATTGGTGGGATGTATTTCAACATCACTTCTATAATCCTATAACATTATTTTCCTAATCACAGCGTTTAATAAACTCAGGTGCAAGACTACAATTCTGCAAGAAACTAAGGCACTTGTTTACTCTCTATCCATTAAGGTACTGAGGCTTAACAAAGTAATTTAGCAATAGTCGAGTCATAAATCCTTTACCTAATCCTAATTTATGGGGGTTTTATTGTTTGTTTGTTATTAAAAAGGAGACCATCTTCTCCCTCAAAAAAGAAAACTGCTATGACAGCAACCAGACCGGAGGAAAGGGAAGACACGGTTACTTAGCTAACGGCAGGCAGAACAGCGGCGAGCCTTACCTGCAGTGCACCGTGATCGGATGGTTTCCCGTTTGCTGCTGCTGCTTTTGAACAGCT